ACACAACTGAAAGGAACACCCCCTACCCCGTCCCACCAAGGTCTGAGCCACTGGCCCACTGAGCTTGTCTGCTCTTTTTTCCCAATCATTTCATTTTAAAAAGCCTTATTTATTTATTTATTTGACAGAGAGAGAGAGAGAGAACAAATAGGCAGAGAGGCAGGCAGAGGGAGAGGGAGAAGCAGGCTCCCCCGAGCAGGGAGCCCGATGCAGGGCTCGATCTCAGGACCCTGGGCTCATGACCTGAGCCAAAGGCAGACGCTTAACCGACTGAGCCACCCAGGCGCCCCTTAAGTGATTTTCCAAAGTATCCTCTGTCCGAATGGACCTTCCTTAACAAGAATTATCATATTAAATATTTCAAGAAAGACCAGTTTCTTGCTGAATAAACACAGTTTGATGATAGAGTGGTTATTTGTGTTTGCTTTCCACAGTACTTGCTACAGCCTGCCAGGTATCTCTGCTGACAAATTCAGTCTTGTTACATATCGTGATGACCATGTATTCCCTACACATCCCTCGAACTGTGCCTTCCCTCAGGGAAACTGATCAGAGAGAGCCTGATCAGAGAGAGCCAATCAGAAATGCTGAAATTTTCAAGAGGCTTTAAAGTTGTCTTTTACTCAGAGTTGGTTTTTTCCACCCCTGAGTCTTTATGAATCACAATCCCCCCCACTCACCTAAAAATTACTTTCAAATAAATCATTATGACTAACTTCAGTTTGCCTTTGGAATCTGCCGATGTGAGATTTGAAATCAAGAGGCTGAGACAATTGAAAAGTCTTATATAAGCCTTTCCAAGATCCCCATAGAGGTTGCATTTCATTTTTCTTCTTGGATAGTTTAGTAAAACTAAAGACTCACTATACAGGTAGCAGTAAGCTGCAGGAATATGAGCTTTCAGTTAAAAAGAAATAATAATAAAAACAAATGCAAGTCACTGATAAATGTTCAGGATGTTCTGTTACCTCCAGTCTGTCATTTGTGTAAATTTGGTGTCATGTGAGGAAGGTCATCAAACAACAAGCAAGAAGGGCCGCCTGGGTGGCTCAGTCGGTTAAGCGTCTGCCTTTGGCTCAGGTGATGATCTTGGGGTCCTGGGATAGAGTCCTGTATCAGGCTCCTTGCTCAGCGGGAAGCCTGCTTCTCCCTCTCCCACTCCCCACCCCCAATTGTGCTCACTCTCTGACAAATAAAAAGAAGTACTTCCTAACAGAAAGAAAATCCACAACTTTTAAATTCTACGAACATCTCTTTTACCTAAGTGTATTTAATTATGTGACAATACTGCCTTAGCAAAACATATTTTCTTATACATATTTTTATATTAATAATATATATTTATAAAAGTTTATATTGATGTTCACTTAATTGCTTTACTCTGATATTCCCTTACTAGGCTTCTTATTTTTTTTTAAAGATTTTATTTATTTATTTGACACAGAGAAAGAGCACAAGCAGGGGGTAGGGACACGGGGAGAGGGAGAAGCAGACTCCCTGATGAGCAGGGAGCCCGATGCAGGGCTCGATCCCAGGACCCTGGGATCATGACCTGAGCCAAAGGCAGATGCTTCACTGACTGAGCCACCCAGGCATTCCTTTGCTCACGTTCTCTCTCAAATAAATAAATAAATCCCCCCCCCCAAAAATGACCCTAAAGAGTCTGTAGACATCTTGTTCCTTCGCAATGTGTCATACTTCCATTCAAATAAAAAGACCCAGGAGTGGATAGTATGTCAGAACACAAAGAACAAGAGGACAGCTCATATCATCTTCTCACACCAACCTTCACTTCCTCCCTCCACTAGTAAAACCAAGTACAGACACTAAATCCAATCTTCTTTCTTTTTCCACCACCTCAACAGAGCCTCTCTTCCAACGTGGTAGAATAAGCCAAATCATTCCGGTCATGATCTGGGCACCTTTGATTCACAGTCCACATCTCCAGTCTTGACTTTCTTCCTGAAAACACATCCCAAGATTCTACCTGCCTGGTGGGCCTCACCATACAGATGTCCCAACCCACGTTCAAAGGCCTCATGTGTCAAAACAAACATACCCAACCTCTACCCCCAGTGTTGCTCCTTGCACCATGCTTCTGGGTTTTATGAATGCATCACCATCTTTTCAACCACAGAGTGAGCTCTGAGGCAATCAGTTAAGGTTTAGATGAAACAAATCACCTCTCTATGTCTGTTTCTTTTTCTGTAAAAGTTGAGAATGACCTACTTTAGATGGTCACTGGGGGATTAAATGAGATAATGCTAAAGTAGATGCTTTATCATTAGATATCCCCCTTCCTCATTCTCTATATTTAATTGTTGGTCAAGGCCTATCAAATCTGCCAGCCAAATGTCTAGAAAGTCTTTCCTCTGTTTTCTATTCCTACCATCATTGTCCTGGTTTGTTCTAACCAAAACAATTGTGAAAATCTTGGACCAGTCACCTTGCTCCCTTCCCTCTCCAACCTGCTTGCCCATAAGCTCTATGAGATGGAGGTCGTCTTACTTTTGTCCATTCTCCCAAAACCTAGCACAGTTCCTGGCACAGAGTAGACATTCAACAGACACTTCTTGGCAATGCTGACTGGCCCCAAATTCATCATCCAGACACAATGGAGCTATGTGCTAAGAAAACCTCAATCTCATGAGCACTGAAGGAAGTCCTCTGCATATTGCCTCATCACAACCTTATGCTCAGAGGCCCATGGTCCCCAAATTCCTCTGTTTCTTCCCATAGAACCCATTGTGGTATATCAACATGGCTGTAATGGGCCCAGATAAGTAGTTAGTAATGAAAAAATTTATTCCACGTTGGCAGAAAATCCTAAGATATGTTAAACAACAACAATAAGTAGATAGTAAATAGAACATGTATATGTCAAACATATAAAGAAAGGGATGGAAGGACCAGGAAATAATTAATTTTCCATTTGTATTAAATACATATGAGGCACCTGGGCTCTAAATATTCATGATGCACTAAATATACAAGAGCAGTAAATATTCATGAGTACTCAATATTCATGAGGCCTTAATTCGGCCACTCATTCATTGGTGACACCCATTCTGGCCCCATGTGTCCTTTCCCCAAGAAACAAACAAAACCCAGACTACTCAGCAAGCTTATTGGTGAGCTACAGCTGTGGCCAGGCCCACTTATCCCCTTGTCTTGCCAACAGAGTGTGTGCCAATAGCTCAAGGTCCCCTCTGTCTGTGGTCCTCCTTACTTGAACTTCCACTCTGGTCTCCAAACCACACTACTGGCAGGAAAAGCTGACACAGCAAAGACAGACTGGACCATTGTCTACCCCAGGATTCAGGCAGAGTTGTCCTTCCACCCACTTGTACCTTGTCCTGTGTGTGTGAACTTACCCCGTTTCTTTGCCCTTGCTTCTCATTGTGTATTTTGAATTGTTTTAGTGCCTCATGTGATTGATGCATTTTCATTTGGTCCAGGAGGCTTTGTTCTGTGGCCTCTGGGAAAGCCTACAGGCACGCTTCTTGGAGGCCATCACAGCATCGAGATAATACCCCCCACAGTACTCTGGCTGCTGGGTAGAGAATAGGTTGTAGGAGGCGCAGAAATGGATGTAGAGAGACCTATCAGGCAGCTATTCTATTCTTCTAGTCAAGAAATGAAGGCAGCTTGGGTTAGTAGGGTAGCAAAGGGCATAGAGAGACATAGACTCAGGATATGTTTTGCTAGCAGAATGCAGAACAAGGATGGTGGGTGTGAACAATTAGGGAATGTCAAAGGAGTAGAGACTGTAGTGGAGAAGGCAATTTCAGGGTTTAAGGTGTTGAAGATGACAATACTCCAGGAAAGACAGAGACAATAAATGTACCTAAGAATCATGGCTCCTGAGGGCTCGAAGTGGTCTTCAAAGGTCATCTACACCAACCACCAAACGAATACCTGACTCCCCTCACCATACCTCTACTAAGCTATCAGTGAAAAATAACCCCTGACCTGCCCCCAGGGCCATCCGTCTATACCAAGGATGAAACAAATATGGGATACCCCTCTCCTCCCCTACACCCGACCCTGACCCCCATGCTCATCCCGAACCATCCACTACAACCTCTGGCAGCTCTCTGCTAGAAAATTATTCTTCTTACCAACCTACATTCTGACCCCCTAGGTCCTATCCTTGAGGATACAGAAAATTAGGTCACCCTTCCTCCCCTTGGCAGCCCTTCAGGTTCCTGAAGACATTTCCTAGGCACACCAGAGTCTTCCCTTTATGGACAAATATCCCTTTCACTCTTCTACCTTACACACGACAAATTTTCAGTCCTTTTAACCACTGTGGTTGCTGTCCCCTGAACATATCCAGATCTCAGTACTGTCCCAAGCGAAGAGCTCATAGCACAAACAGAAGAAATCAGTCATCTCCCTCGATCTCCACCCTACTTCTAATAATGCAATTTAGGATTAGCTCCTCTGGTGGCCACGGTGCAGAGTTAACTCTTGTCTGGTTAAAATGGACTATGGATAAAGGTGACTGGCATACAGGGGGTGAAGAAGCAATGACCCTCTGCTGAAGAACCATCAGAGTCTCTAGTGAACAGGTATGAGGAGGAGGAGAGGGAGGCTGAAGCAAACGGCAGCGAATTCAAGAAAGAAAAGAGTAGCAATCTGGAAGGGGCAGTGGACAACAGTCTCCTCTCTTCTCCTGAAAGTGTTATGAAAGCAGTAGTATGGTCATGGTAAAAAGACCAGAGACACAGGGGAGTCTGCTCATACTAGAGCAATGCCTGACAGAAAACGAATATGCCATACAAGAGTGAGTGAAATGGTCCATGGTGAGGTGTGGGGGGTAGAAAGTGGGTAAGTCACCATCAACGACTACAAGCTACCAGCATGTTTATGTTCACTGTCACCAACAAGTTAGACATCTTGCAAGTACACGGCATCTTTTAAAAAGCTAGAGAAAGGCAATATATAAAGGCAGGCATCGGAAGTAAGAGAAGCAGAACTCTGCTTTAAATAGATACCTTGAAGCATTCCACTATTTTTCAATGCTGGTTCATTTACTTGAATTGTGTCATCTTCAAGGTAGAAGTAGATTTTATAGCGTCTGATTCTATAGTTTTCTTGACTTCTATCAGGCACTTCATCTTCTAAATAGGCATCAAAAGATAATACCTGTTGGAATCATAATTAGAAACTAAGAAATGAAAAAAATTCAGCAAACTCAGAATCAATACAGCTACTGCCTGCATACTTGTTAATGTAAAAACAAAAACTGAGATTTTTACAAAGACATTCTACACATCAGCTCTGAAAACAGACACACAATCTAAGTTACCATATATAAAGATTATATTTGCATCACCATCAGATTAGAATAAGGACATGATATTCAAGCCACAAACCCATCATTCAGTTCTACTATAAACTGAGCTAGTTTCTGGCTTTGGAATTTCACAATGGGATTCTAGATGTAGGTTATGGTAGGATCCCCCCTTAGCCATGGTTTTGCATCCTGCAGTTTCAGTTACCTGCAGTCAGTTGGGTCCAGAAGCAGATGATCCTCCTTCTGCCCTATGTTCAGGTCAATAGGAGCCTACCACTGGGGTGCCTGAGGGGCTCAGTCGATGAAGCATCTGCCTTCAGCTCAGGTCATGATCCCGGGGTCCTGGGATCGAGCCCTGCATCGGGCTCCCTGCTCAGCGGGGAGCCTACTTCTCCTTCTCCCTCTGCCCCTCCCCCCGCAAGCTCCTGCTCCCTCCCTTCCTCTCTCTCTCTCCCCCTCAAATAAATAAATAAAATCTTTAAAAAAATAGGAGGCTACCACTACATCACAATGCTTACATCAACCACCTCACTGCATTTCATCATGTAGGTGTGTTACCATCTCACATCATCACAAGAAGAATGAGTACAGTAGGAGAAGATATTTTGAGGGACAGACCACGTTCACATAGCTTATTATAGGATATTGTTATAATTGTTCTATTATTACTTATTGTTGTTAATCTCTTACCGTGCTAATTTTACCAATTAAACGTCATTATAGGTATGTATGCATAGGAAAAAAACAGTATATATAGGGTTCAGTATTACCTGTGGTTTCAGGCATCCACTGGGGGTTTTGGAACATATACCCCTTGGATGTGGGGGGCACTACTACATAGAGAAGATAATATTCTTTCTGAATATTCTTTCAATAGACAGATCTGAAATCCTTTCAGTGCACTGGAGAGCCCAACTTAAACTTCTTCAGGAACTTCAAAGAGCCTAGCTTAATGCCGACCAGTCTCATCTTACAGTGTGTATGTGCTGGGGGGAGGGGAGTGTTGGAGAGGGACTCAGGTGGCAGAGGTGGATTCTAAAATAATTACAGTAAAAATCAGGGGCACTCAGTTGGTTGAGTGTCCAACTCTTGATTTTGGCTCAGGTCATGATTCGAGGGTCCTGAGACTGAGCTCCATGTTGAGCCCCATGTCAGGCTCGGTGCTCAATGCGGAATCTGCTTCTCTCCCTCTCCCCCTCTTCCTGCTCATGCCCTCTCTCTCTCAAACAAATAAATCTTTTTTAAAAAATAAAGTAGTTACAGTAAAAATCAGAGATCATCAAAACGACCCTTGAAAATTCTTTAACCATTTTGAAAAACTGGGCCTCTCAGTAAGCATAGCGCAACCCATTTTTCTTCCATGTTGAAGCAGAAGACTACTGCCTCTTCAGTTGAAGACCAGATGAAATAGCTTCCTTAGGCTTAGATGCCATGTTGTAAGAATAATACGTATCTTTAACCATTGGAATCACTCTCAACATAGCAACCAGATCACACTTTCAAGCTTGCCCTGGGACACATGCTCCTTGAGAGCTCCATTTTAATATTCCCTCTGCTGTCATTTTTTTAATCAATTTTTATAATTAGAGTTGTAAAAGTTAATGGTGTATATGATGTAATACTATGGTAATTCAACATGGATAATATGATCTATATGAGTCAGTCTGTTAAGTACAATTTACCCTCTTAGGGTGGTCAGTTACCCTAATTAGGAATATATGCTCCAGGAGTAGCAAATTTCTATCAGAAGCCCACACTTCAGAAGTGGCTGACAAAATGCCTCAGTAGTTTATCTTTGATCAACACAGGAAACATTGTTAATTACCATAAAGGATGTTAGAAATGAGTTGTCGTTAAATGACTGTATTCAAAATGAATGGATCAGTTACAAATATTGACGAGGCACTGTCTTTACTGAAACAAGTTCTAAGAATCTAGTGAACCCAGAGATCTCTTCCCTTTCAAAATGGCACCTTTGGCTTCATTCCAAAATGGCCCTACGTTTAGTTACTTTCTTGGAAAATTCATCTGGCCTGCCTCCAGTTAGGAGGTTAGCTAAACCCACTTTTAGAATGCTGTCGTATTTGTGTTGAGTGAACATTTCCGGTAAAATGCTGTTGGATGGGTATAGGGTTTCCTTCTGGGGTGATGAAAATGTCTTGGAACTGGTTAGAAGTGATGGTTACACAACACTGTGAATATACTAGATAGCAATAAACTGCATACTTTAAAATGGCTAATGGTTAATTTCATGTTATGTTGATTTTGCCTCAATTAAAAACAAAGATGTTAGGGCGCCTGGGTGGCTCAGTTGGTTGAGCATCCGACTCTTGATTTCGGCTAAGGTCATGATCTTGGGATCCTGAGATCGAGCCCTGTGTCAGGCTCCGCACTCAGCAGGGAGTCTGCTTGAAGATTCTCTCCCCCTCTCCCCATGCCCCCCCCTCGCATGTTCTCTCCTCTCTCTCAAATACATAAATCTTTAAAAGAAAAAGATGTTGGACACTGAATTGTGTTGGACATATTAAAATGGTAACTTCTATGTTACACGAACTATATCTCAATTAAAAAAAAAGGAAAGGAGAAAAAAATACTGGAAGGCCTAAAAGGACAAGCGAGCTGGAGCTTCTCTGAGCTTTCAGTAAAGGGAGTGAGAGGGAGCAGAATATGTCACCCCAGAACGTGCCACTTTTGGCATGTGGGTTATTTCAACCTGAAGACAACTGGGGCCGAGCAGACTCCAGAAGAACTTTTTACCTCCCCCTTAACTGCTTCAAAGAATTTAGATAGGGACCCTGTGCCAGCAAACAAGCCATTACCAGAGAAAACTTTTTCTATCAGAAAGACTTATCTGCATGGCATGGCAAACATTTGTTCTTCTCATGTTGTCAATTGTCTTCCTCCTCTTTGAAGTCTCAGACCCCTATACCCTTTTCCTTAGTTCTGGATGGTAGACAAGCCTCAATTACCTGACTGCCTCTGAGTCTTCATATCTTTGTGGGGCTCCCATAGGTATGTAATTAAATTTGTTTTTCTCTTGTTAATCTGTCTTATGACAATTCAATTATTAGACCAGGCAAAGAACCTAGATTCTGCCCCTTAGAGTCAATCTGAAACTTTTTGTTTTTGCATTATAGTTGGATAGGAAAGCATGGAGAGAATATTCATCACTTTCACCTACACCTCTATGTATTGAATGCCATTGGTATAAATTTGTGAATGAGCAAACTGGTATAGATCAGTTGACAACACTGTCATTTACGTAATGATTAAACATTTAACAGGGGGCGCCTGGGTGGCTCAGTCGTTAAGTGTCTGCCTTCGGCTCAGGTCATGATCCCTGGGGTCCTGGGATCGAGCCCCGCATCGGGCTCCCTGCTCTGCGGGAGGCCTGCTTCTCCTTCTCCCACTCCCCCTGCTTGTGTTCCCTCTCTCGCTCTGTCAAATAAAT